ACAGAATCCAGAGTTTTGGGAAGATTGGCAGAAACTTAATTTTTCGCCCAAAAAAAAAACGTAAGGGGTACCACTGTCGTTTTTTTTTTCGGGCCGAATTTTTGAGTTTCGATATCTCAGCTCTGGAAGGGGCTAGAGCCTCCATTTTTGCACTCAGGTCTAAGTCTCAAGGCCCTCTATCAGAATTTGGGAAGATTGGAGAAACTTAATTTTTCGCCCAAAAAAAAAACGTAAGGGGTACCACTGTCGTTTTTTTTTCGGGCCAAATTTTTGAGTTTCGATATCTCAGCTCTGGAAGGGGCTAGAGCCTCCATTTTTGCACTCAGGTCTAAGTCTCATGGCCCTCTATCAGAATTTGGGAAGATTGGAGAAACTTAATTTTTCGCCCAAAAAAAAACGTAAGGGGTACCACTGTCGTTTTTTTTTTCGGGCCGAATTTTTGAGTTTCGATATCTCAGCTCTGGAAGGGGCTAGAGCCTCCATTTTTGCACTCAGGTCTAAGTCTCATGGCCCTCTATCAGAATTTGGGAAGATTGGAGAAACTTAATTTTTCGCCCAAAAAAAAAAACGTAAGGGGTACCACTGTCGTTTTTTTTTCGGGCCGAATTTTTGAGTTTCGATATCTCAGCTCTGGAAGGGGCTAGAGCCTCCATTTTTGCACTCAGGTCTAAGTCTCATGGCCCTCTATCAGAATTTGGGAAGATTGGAGAAACTTAATTTTTCGCCCAAAAAAAAACGTAAGGGGTACCACTGTCGTTTTTTTTTCGGGCCGAATTTTTGAGTTTCGATATCTCAGCTCTGGAAGGGGCTAGAGCCTCCATTTTTGCACTCAGGTCTAAGTCTCATGGCCCTCTATCAGAATTTGGGAAGATTGGAGAAACTTAATTTTTCGCCCAAAAAAAAAACGTAAGGGGTACCACTGTCGTTTTTTTTTCGGGCCGAATTTTTGAGTTTCGATATCTCAGCTCTGGAAGGGGCTAGAGCCTCCATTTTTGCACTCAGGTCTAAGTCTCATGGCCCTCTATCAGAATTTGGGAAGATTGGAGAAACTTAATTTTTCGCCCAAAAAAAAAAACGTAAGGGGTACCACTGTCGTTTTTTTTTCGGGCCGGATTTTTGAGTTTCGATATCTCAGCTCTGGAAGGGGCTAGAGCCTCCATTTTTGCACTCAGGTCTAAGTCTCATGGCCCTCTATCAGAATTTGGGAAGATTGGAGAAACTTAATTTTTCGCCCAAAAAAAAAAAACGTAAGGGGTACCACTGTCGTTTTTTTTTCGGGCCGAATTTTTGAGTTTCGATATCTCAGCTCTGGAAGGGGCTAGAGCCTCCATTTTTGCACTCAGGTCTAAGTCTCATGGCCCTCTATCAGAATTTGGGAAGATTGGAGAAACTTAATTTTTCGCCCAAAAAAAAAAAACGTAAGGGGTACCACTGTCGTTTTTTTTTCGGGCCGAATTTTTGAGTTTCGATATCTCAGCTCTGGAAGGGGCTAGAGCCTCCATTTTTGCACTCAGGTCTAAGTCTCATGGCCCTCTATCAGAATTTGGGAAGATTGGAGAAACTTAATTTTTCGCCCAAAAAAAAAAAACGTAAGGGGTACCACTGTCGTTTTTTTTTTCGGGCCGAATTTTTGAGTTTCGATATCTCAGCTCTGGAAGGGGCTAGAGCCTCCATTTTTGCACTCAGGTCTAAGTCTCATGGCCCTCTATCAGAATTTGGGAAGATTGGAGAAACTTAATTTTTCGCCCAAAAAAAAAAAACGTAAGGGGTACCACTGTCGTTTTTTTTTCGGGCCGAATTTTTGAGTTTCGATATCTCAGCTCTGGAAGGGGCTAGAGCCTCCATTTTTGCACTCAGGTCTAAGTCTCATGGCCCTCTATCAGAATTTGGGAAGATTGGAGAAACTTAATTTTTCGCCCAAAAAAAAAAACGTAAGGGGTACCACTGTCGTTTTTTTTTCGGGCCGAATTTTTGAGTTTCGATATCTCAGCTCTGGAAGGGGCTAGAGCCTCCATTTTTGCACTCAGGTCTAAGTCTCATGGCCCTCTATCAGAATTTGGGAAGATTGGAGAAACTTAATTTTTCGCCCAAAAAAAAAACGTAAGGGGTACCACTGTCGTTTTTTTTTTCGGGCCGAATTTTTGAGTTTCGATATCTCAGCTCTGGAAGGGGCTAGAGCCTCCATTTTTGCACTCAGGTCTAAGTCTCATGGCCCTCTATCAGAATTTGGGAAGATTGGAGAAACTTAATTTTTCGCCCAAAAAAAAACGTAAGGGGTACCACTGTCGTTTTTTTTTCGGGCCGAATTTTTGAGTTTCGATATCTCAGCTCTGGAAGGGGCTAGAGCCTCCATTTTTGCACTCAGGTCTAAGTCTCATGGCCCTCTATCAGAATTTGGGAAGATTGGAGAAACTTAATTTTTCGCCCAAAAAAAAAACGTAAGGGGTACCACTGTCGTTTTTTTTTCGGGCCGAATTTTTGAGTTTCGATATCTCAGCTCTGGAAGGGGCTAGAGCCTCCATTTTTGCACTCAGGTCTAAGTCTCATGGCCCTCTATCAGAATTTGGGAAGATTGGAGAAACTTAATTTTTCGCCCAAAAAAAAACGTAAGGGGTACCACTGTCGTTTTTTTTTCGGGCCGAATTTTTGAGTTTCGATATCTCAGCTCTGGAAGGGGCTAGAGCCTCCATTTTTGCACTCAGGTCTAAGTCTCATGGCCCTCTATCAGAATTTGGGAAGATTGGAGAAACTTAATTTTTCGCCCAAAAAAAAAAACGTAAGGGGTACCACTGTCGTTTTTTTTTCGGGCCGAATTTTTGAGTTTCGATATCTCAGCTCTGGAAGGGGCTAGAGCCTCCATTTTTGCACTCAGGTCTAAGTCTCATGGCCCTCTATCAGAATTTGGGAAGATTGGAGAAACTTAATTTTTCGCCCAAAAAAAAAACGTAAGGGGTACCACTGTCGTTTTTTTTTTCGGGCCGAATTTTTGAGTTTCGATATCTCAGCTCTGGAAGGGGCTAGAGCCTCCATTTTTGCACTCAGGTCTAAGTCTCATGGCCCTCTATCAGAATTTGGGAAGATTGGAGAAACTTAATTTTTCGCCCAAAAAAAAAACGTAAGGGGTACCACTGTCGTTTTTTTTTCGGGCCGAATTTTTGAGTTTCGATATCTCAGCTCTGGAAGGGGCTAGAGCCTCCATTTTTGCACTCAGGTCTAAGTCTCATGGCCCTCTATCAGAATTTGGGAAGATTGGAGAAACTTAATTTTTCGCCCAAAAAAAAAAACGTAAGGGGTACCACTGTCGTTTTTTTTTCGGGCCGAATTTTTGAGTTTCGATATCTCAGCTCTGGAAGGGGCTAGAGCCTCCATTTTTGCACTCAGGTCTAAGTCTCATGGCCCTCTATCAGAATTTGGGAAGATTGGAGAAACTTAATTTTTCGCCCAAAAAAAAAACGTAAGGGGTACCACTGTCGTTTTTTTTTCGGGCCGAATTTTTGAGTTTCGATATCTCAGCTCTGGAAGGGGCTAGAGCCTCCATTTTTGCACTCAGGTCTAAGTCTCATGGCCCTCTATCAGAATTTGGGAAGATTGGAGAAACTTAATTTTTCGCCCAAAAAAAAACGTAAGGGGTACCACTGTCGTTTTTTTTTTCGGGCCGAATTTTTGAGTTTCGATATCTCAGCTCTGGAAGGGGCTAGAGCCTCCATTTTTGCACTCAGGTCTAAGTCTCATGGCCCTCTATCAGAATTTGGGAAGATTGGAGAAACTTAATTTTTCGCCCAAAAAAAAAACGTAAGGGGTACCACTGTCGTTTTTTTTTCGGGCCGAATTTTTGAGTTTCGATATCTCAGCTCTGGAAGGGGCTAGAGCCTCCATTTTTGCACTCAGGTCTAAGTCTCATGGCCCTCTATCAGAATTTGGGAAGATTGGAGAAACTTAATTTTTCGCCCAAAAAAAAAAACGTAAGGGGTACCACTGTCGTTTTTTTTTCGGGCCGAATTTTTGAGTTTCGATATCTCAGCTCTGGAAGGGGCTAGAGCCTCCATTTTTGCACTCAGGTCTAAGTCTCATGGCCCTCTATCAGAATTTGGGAAGATTGGAGAAACTTAATTTTTCGCCCAAAAAAAAAAACGTAAGGGGTACCACTGTCGTTTTTTTTTTCGGGCCGAATTTTTGAGTTTCGATATCTCAGCTCTGGAAGGGGCTAGAGCCTCCATTTTTGCACTCAGGTCTAAGTCTCATGGCCCTCTATCAGAATTTGGGAAGATTGGAGAAACTTAATTTTTCGCCCAAAAAAAAAAACGTAAGGGGTACCACTGTCGTTTTTTTTTCGGGCCGAATTTTTGAGTTTCGATATCTCAGCTCTGGAAGGGCTAGAGCCTCCATTTTTGCACTCAGGTCTAAGTCTCATGGCCCTCTATCAGAATTTGGGAAGATTGGAGAAACTTAATTTTTCGCCCCAAAAAAAAAACGTAAGGGGTACCACTGTCGTTTTTTTTTTCGGGCCGAATTTTTTGAGTTTCGATACAGTATAGATATAATGGAGAAAAATATTTTTGTGAGGCACAAGAGTGTTAATGGGATCTATTTTGGATCACAAAAGATTCAGCTCCAGGTAGACTGCCAAGTGGCCATTTTCATGTGTGGAATCACCATAAACATAACCCATAGATTAGTCATTTCATTTCAGAAAGCCAAGCCCCTTGAGCAACATCTAACAGAAAAAGTAAATAGCCTGTTTTCAATATTTTTATATATGAAGAGTTCAGATGCAAAAGCCTCTAAATGCCATTTGAAATTTTCTTCTAAAACGATAATTTTTATCAAGCTTGTATATTTAAGTTCAGTAATTTCACTTAAATGGCAATGAAGATTACCTATTAATTGTCATTTAAGTGAAATTACTGAACTTAAATATACAAGCTTGATAAAAATGGACATTTTAGAAGAAAATTTCAAAATGGCATTTAGAGGCTTTTGCATCTGAACTCTTCATATATTTTTGCTCCATTTTCCATGTTTTCTCTCCCACCCAGTTGCTAAGCATCTCACCAGAAAGTAGTCATCTGCAGAAAGCCACCAAAAGCATCTGAAACAGAAAGTGCTTACAGTAGAAGCAAAAAAACTTCAGCTGTAAGTCTCATAGCACTTGGAGATTCATACCATTTACATTAGCATGTTAAATGATTTATTTTTCATTATTAGGTTTTATATGTCCAAGCTATGTAAGACAAATACATGCATTGTTATTATGCAAAATGATTGGCGTTAAGCACAATATATAACATTATCATGCCAGTCTTAAAGACTCACCAGTCGCCCATCACCTGATCCCAGATCTGCCAGACATCCTGCTCTTCCATGCAGGAGTTTCATTACATTCTGGGTCTGTGTTCTGCTGGAGGGCAAATAAGGCACCTGGACAATATTAATTTCACTTACATTAGTGTTTAATTGACTGATTGATTTTCTCGCTCTTCTCTCCAGTCTAAACAACAACTTAATCCAGGCACATGGTAAAGTGCAGATTGTAGCCATCTATAAAGATATCATCCAGGAAACGAATATTGGCAGCTCTTTATTGTGTAACTGAGCAGATGCTATATATAGCTGCCTGCCAATATATGGTATATTACTTGCAGTACCTTAAGACTTGTGGGAACTTTCCGAAATCCAGGAAGTGCAAATAATGTCCAGAGCCCATAAACCCCCATGAGCAAAGCTCCAGATGCTGCTGTGAAGAGTGACTTTTCTTGGGTATGTTGGGAGAGCTTGCAACTTTTATGCAGAAGCATAACCTCTACTGAATCCTCCATGATGGAACACTAGTGGGAAAAGAAAACAAATATAATATCTACGACTCAATATAAAAATTAATGTGATCAATGCTGACAAGCAAGTCGAAAGTCACATTTTTATGACACGTTTTCTTCTCCACATTGTAACCTAGTCAAAAGTACTGGTGGAGGTCTTCAGCCACTAGAGAACGATAGAAACCCATTGTTTTTAATAGAACTAACGCCTAAAAAATAGTTTATTTACCACAAGAATGTATTATATAGCAGATGTAACCGTAATATAAAGGCGTGTTTTACAACCTGACCGTGTATGTTTCTGTTTACTTTAAAAGCTGTTCACAAAAGCGCAAAAGGCGTTTTCTTCAAATTTCTTGGACAAACAACCAACCCCAACACAACCAGTTTACCAAAAACAAATTTTACGACAAAATATTAGAGAATTAAAAGTCGGTTTACCTCAACATGTCAATGTATTGCGTGTTTTAGTACGAGGACTACGTGACATTCATGTAAACAACACAGGCGCATGCGAGTCGAGAGTGGGATGGGCACTAGTTCTACTCATAGGGTTCTACTATGGAGAAGGCCAAGCTCGTTAATATTAACTATATCATGCTGCCGTCCAATGACGAGGGCTAATCCTATGAATATTAAATACAAGCTTCAAATTTTAATTGAGTCCATTTTTAATAGTTGTTAAATAAATCAACATTAAATTTAATCAGAAATTACCATGATTGTCTGTTGATTTTTTTTCCCTTTGGAGTGTTATTTGTAATATTTATTAGATCATTTATTACATCGTCGTGGAATCCAGGAATACACTTTTGTCCTCTGTATGATGAGACATTTTATTTCAGTGAATTTCTGTGACATGGAATGTACATGTCCTGTAAACAACACATTCGGGGATTTTTAAAGATAGCCTACCAAATGTTTGGAGGTCTCACCGTGACTTTTCCTTGTTCTTTAAAAATGAATTAGCACTCCTATGGAAAATTCTAAGATTTTGTAATTACCATTTAAATCATTAAAATGGTTATTCATACATCAATATCTCAGGAAAATGTTGGGTTGATTAGAAAAATGAGTTTTCTAATCAAAATATGAATTTCTGGAACAAAACAGCTAGGGCATTGATTTCATACATTTCCACTGTAGTGGACACCAGGACTTAACTCATGTTTATCAGGCATTTTGGGAGACACAGCAAGTAAATAGGGAAATCAATTTTATATCAATATTCCTAAGATATTAAAATGCTGCCAATTATTACACCCAAGACTCAAGCGCGAGTGAGGTCAACAGGTTTTATTGACAAGACAAGAAATGGTGTGCAAGGAGGTGATAACAGTCCTAACAGTAGGCAGGGAACAAAGCACAATGACAGGCAAGCTGAGAGGGTGGCAGTTGAGACCAGCCCAAGGTGAATACTACCACTTCTGAGGTAGATGAGCAGCACGAGGCCAATGGATGCAGACAGGATACAGCACATGTAGATGGACTCACAGCACAATCAGTCACTGCACCAGTCTCACTGCTTGAGGAAGCTTGCAGGGCTGGAACAAACAGGGAACAGAACAAACACAAGACTATCCAGGCACTATTCACAACTGACTGACACCATGAGCAATAAGTAACAGGTAGCACAACACACTAAACATGACGGTAAGGGAACACAATATAAAGGGAGCTGAAAACAAGAGGAACAGGTGAACATAGGCTACTCAGGAAAATGAAAACACAAGAAGTGAGCATGAGGAACACAGGTGACAACACTCAGACAAAGGAGGACTCAACTAGACAAGAGGGTCGTCAAGCACAACACAAGCATAGAGACGTGAAACAAAGACAACACAGACAAAGCTGCCAGGGCAGAATCCTGACAGTCATTTCATGTCTGCAGTCTTGGTGTCCACTACATGTGAAATAATTAATGAAATATTTTCAATTAGTTTCTTATATGCTCTAAATAATGTAATGACATAAAAAAAAACTTTTTTTCCTGAGTCTTGGGAGGATTTAATGTAGGCTACTAATCTGTTGTGATCTGTGTGTGTGTGTGTGTGTGTGAGAGAGAGAGAGAGAGAAGAGAGAGAGAGAGAGAGAGAAGAAGAGAGAGAGAGAGAGAGAGAGAGAGAGAGAGAGAGAGAGAGAGAGAGAGAGAGCAACACCGCCCCCTGCTGTCAGCAGCTCGCACTCACACTTCAATTGGATGAATGGGTGGAGAGTGTCTGCTGACGTCCATTGCGAGCATCACTGCATCCAACATTTATCCCAACAGCCGACTCCACCTCTCCAAAACGGGGAAAAAACTATAATTTATTAGGACTAAATCAGAATCAAGCTCCGTTTATTGTATTGGTTTCATTATCTTTAACAATGGAGTTGTACGGGAAGGTAAGTGTTCAACGGTGTTATATAAATACAATGTTTGGTGACCACTTTGGTCGTAATGGAGAGCTACGCAAAAAGAGAAATAAATGGCTAATTTAGTCATATTGAAAATAAAAAAATAAAAAAAAGATGTAGTTTAAAGAGATTTGCCCTTTGACAGCGAGCATAATAGGCTGACCAGTCATGAAATGTTTAGGCTATTACATTTATGAAACGCAACATCAGTGAAGAGAAAAGCAATCAGCCGTAAAAGCTCATTTATTCACAGGAGCTGCTAATTCAAACAGTCTTGGTTGTTTATATGAAACATTATTGCCAAAATGAGTCTCTCATTTACAGCTCAAAATTCTCTTTGTCTATGGTCCACATCAAGCAAGTCATTATGAGCATTAGGTGTTTGAAGACTATTAGCCTTTAATATCCAGGGCTTGGCTGAAAAGAGACGGACCCCTTTAAAAACACTGTAGGCTGTGTCTCAAAACCTAGTGCGCTGCCTACTTCGACAACATCGTGTAGAGACTATCATCGGCGCCTTCCGAGTTTGCACGCTCATATTACACAATTTAATCACATTTGTTCCCAGCTAAGTGAGCACATAACGTATCTAATAACGTAAAGTTGTGCTTTATTCCTGGTCACAATTTGAACAGGAGTGTCAAATGTTGCTTATTTAAGTTGTTAAAGGTGTAAACAATAATGAAATATTTCAAATGAAGGCGTATTTCTGCTAATTTTGACTTTTATTTTCTTTAATATTACAGTACTTCAAAATGACTTTTATTTTGTGAATCAATCAGTTTTTAATTAAAAACAGACATCGTCTTTGATCATCGTCACATCTGGTCATGTCTCTGTTTGCCCCAGCCAAGCAAACATGTAAAAAGGAAATCAAGACAGGATGCTCATTCATTATAGTTGACAACTATTGTGCGAAATATATTAAAATTTGAACTAAAATACATTTAGGTTAGGTTGAGATTAAATGGGTTAAATGCAAAATTACCGTAGGACATTCATTCACTAGATTTAAGACGCAGTGGTGGACAGCTCCTGGTGCTGAATTTCACAGAACCACACTTTAATGAGGACTTTAATGAAATACTCATTTATAATTTGTTAACACTTTATTTGACATTATCCTTGTTAAACGTGGATGTTAGAGATGTTACATGTAGTTACTGTAGTAGTAACTATAAATTATGCATAATTACATGCAACTAACCCTAACCCTATAGTGCAGTAAGTACATTAATGTATAATTATTACACCTTAAAATAAAGCGTAACCTATCATATAACCAAATTATATTTTTAGGCTGTAAATCTTTGATCTATTAATCACACTGTGACTTTGTGTTCTTCTCACAGATGGCTGCTACGCAAGACAACAAACAAAAGGAGAGCTCTGATCAAAACTTTGATTACATGTTCAAGCTGTTGATCATCGGGAACAGCAGCGTCGGAAAAACATCTTTCCTCTTCCGCTACGCCGACGATACTTTCACATCTGCCTTTGTCAGTACAGTGGGCATCGACTTTAAGGTCAAAACCATTTATAAGAGCGACAAAAGGATCAAGCTTCAGATCTGGGTAATTTCCAGCCTCATTCACGTCACAATGGCCGTGATTCGAAAATGACACAGACTTTAAGTCTTTTTTTAACTCGGCGTCAATGTTTCATGGTTGGTAAAGCACTGAAGAGCCGGATAATCACACATGGAGCAATGTAAACACCACATGGGGTGATGATTAACACTGGCTTATGGAAAGAGAACATAAGCCATTGTCACCTTATCTAGGCCTTTAAGTCAGCATCAGCGAACTGTTCTGTTCATCAGATCGTGGCACACTTTTCTATTTTAGTCTTCGAGTGAAAGTGCTGCCACTTTTAGAGGTGACAAAGCACCGTCTCATTCATTCACACTCCATTTTTCTCTCCCAGACTCAATCAGTTCTTGTGAATTTAACATGATTCTCGGTCAAAATATGTAGAGATGCTCCTCTTTTTAGACTAATTTACTTTCACAGACAGTGCTTAAATTAAGCAATTAGGATTTAGTTCAATTCGGACATAGCTTTCTTAAACGTGCCTTAGAAAAAAGCATTACTGGTGTGCGTTTGAGACAAAACAATGGAGCTGATATATTAGGCCTAAGTCTTGTCTGTGAAACCGGCCTATTATAATGCTGCTCTTGTTATTTTTAGGACACAGCTGGGCAGGAAAGGTACAGGACTATCACCACAGCCTACTACAGAGGCGCCATGGGCTTCATCCTAATGTATGACATTACCAACGAGGAGTCTTTTGCTGCTGTTCAGGACTGGTAAGTTGATGTAGTTCCTGCTTTTCAACAGGATTGTTGATGAGCTTTCAGGATCACTACTGAGGTGATCCTGCAGTTTAATGTCCATCCTTGAGTCAAAATCTATAAATTAAAGTCATTAATCTTGTGAGGGAAATTACTTAGACCTCTTCTTATCTTCCCAAAACAAAAAGTACAGAGAAAACGCACAAATATTACTTAAGCATGGGCTTGTGTTAACATTTTTAATTGATTTTTAATGTCTAGAGTTGTTACAAAGTAAAAAGCATTTTTTGTTTCAATACTCAATTATTTGAATTTAAATGCAAATTTTGGCATAATTTTCATAAATTTCAATGACTTTTTCCTGTGAAACCCCAAAAAGTTGTATTCCCCCCCAAAATAAATAAATAAAATAAAATAAATTGTGCACGATATTTCAAATTGGTAAACCATCAATGAGCAATATATATTTGGTAACACTTTACTTGAAGGGGTGTTCATAAGACTGACATGACACCTTCATACCCATTACATGACATATGTCTTGAATGTGAAGTAAGGTGTATGCATGTTTATGACAACTGTCATTAAGTGTCTTTCGCTCAATAATGACATTTTGAATGCAAATATGACATTGTTTACGATGTCTTTGTTATGACATCTTGACATAAACCATAACATCATAACCTGTCAGTGTCTTTGTCATGAAAACTTGACATAAAATTAAGTTAAACTGTCACGTGGTTGGTTTTGACATTGGCTGTCATGAGGCCATTATAACTGTCATGAACATTTTTCGTGACCTCAACTACAATGTTACTAATTGAATTTGTCATTAAATGTTGTAATGGCT